CGTGTGTAAAACACACTTATCAAGGAGTACCAAACCATATCTCTTCTGAAGTCTTTTTGTCAATTGCGATTGAGGGTTATCGGTTAATAAAAAAACAAGCTGTAGAAACAGATTTGGCCTAAAATGACGTAGGAAAACTAGAATTGGAAAGTAGACAACATACTTTCTCCATCAAAGTCTTATTCATGTGTTCTGCCATACCGATGTGCTACGAAGTCTTACGAACTATTAAGTGACTCAAGATTTCTTTTGACTTGTGGAAAACATTAAACTCATTAGAACAAAACTTCAAACCATTATTAGAGATCTTTCACCTACTTTCTTGTCTCTTTCTCAATCATAATCTTCCACTCATTGAATGTAGAAAACGCACCATTCTTCTTCTTTTAGAAGACTACCCAAACTTTTCTGAAGAAATCATTAATAATAGTCGGCATATAGTAAGCACCTCATTTGGAAGACACCATAGATGGTCCTAAAAGATCATAATGTATGTAATCAAATGTTTCCTTCATTTTGTGAATGCCTTTAGTGAATCTAACTCTTTTCTGCTTCCCAAAAATACAGTTCCCACATAACTTTAATTTAATACTACTCTATCCATCAAGAAGTCCTCTCCTGCTGAGTTTATCCATCCCATTCTCACGTATATATCCAAGAAACATATGCTTAAGTCTAGTAATATCATCTTACAAGGAAAGAGTAGATACAACTGCATCACCTGCAACTATAGAACCCGACATGACATATAACTAAACACACATTCTCTATTCTTACATTACATTGAGGACACATTTTCTAATCTTGCGGACTCCACCTTTACCAGTGTACTTGTACCATTTTGAATTAAGAGTACACAAAGAGATAAGATTTCTTTTCAGATCTAAACACGTCTTACATTACAAAGCATCCTGACACCCCCATCAAACATTTTAATTCTGATCGTTCCAATATGAGCTATCTTACAAGGTACGTTATTTTCCATTATAATGACACATTAGAAGCTATTTCATATGTTGAAAATCAAACGTAACTGAGACAAGTATGAAACGTCCAAGTTGAATCAAGAATCCAATTCTCACAAGGTTTGGAGTCACTTTGACCATCTTCTGCAACACTGGCTTCATCCAATTTTTTGTTGTTTTCCCTTTTGATGAAAAACAGCTATTTTATTCTTATTCTGCAACTTGTAGCAATCATATTCGATGTGCCCTTTTTTTTGTAGTAATTACAAATTTTGTCTCTATTTTTAAATTTCGATTTTCCTTTTATATCACCACTAGAATATTGTTCATGTGTCCTCTCACAAACAATAAGGGCCTCTACTTGAGCCTCAGATCCAAACAGGTTGGTTCCAGTAGAGATGTCAAGGTTGATGAAAGATCATCAAGGAACTGGGAGTCAAATACAGTAGAAATCTCTCAAACAGAAGATGCTGGAAATGATGAAGAAGAAATGGAAGGAGGT